AAAATTAAAAACTTATTTAATCTGGAAATTATTGAAACTACGAATTTCGGGAGGCGTTTGATTAACACATCCTTGCACTTTCACAATTTTTTACTTTATCCTTAATACTTACGAAATGTAGCTATTTTGTTGTGTATTAATAATATTACATCTATAATCCAGAAAATTTAGAGTAAAAATGTGCGAAAGCAAAACCCACTCACTTAAGTATTGTCAGCCCGTGCTCAGTGTTGTGTAGTTGTGTACAGAGTTTAACAAATTGAATACACCCGTGAAACTAAACTGTTTTGTAAACAGGGCACGAGCACTGTTGTTGTTAATGTTTACGTTTCACCGGGTGTGTTCAATTGTTAAACTCTGCACACACCACTGAGCACGGACTGACAATACTGGTGAGAGGATTTTGCTTTCTACATTTCTACTCTGAAATTTCTGCATTATAGTTTTAATATTTTTCATTAATAAACAACAAAATTGCTACTTTTCTAAAGTATTAAGGATAACGTTAAAATTTGTGAAAGTGCAAGGATGTGTCTATCAAACGCGTCCAGAAATTCGAAGTTTCAATTACTTCCAGATAAAATAAGATTTTTATCAAATTTTCATATGAAATGCTATAGCAACATATAAGTCATGAAATTATACAGAAAATTTGAGTAAATATTAGCTTCAAATCTGTGTCTAAGCACCTTTAAGCAATCTGTGCTAACATCAAAAATAGATCAAACTTCACTTAACAAGACGCTCGCTTATTTCCTCTTGACATACAGGAACAAGCCTCTCAGAACAACCTGCGAAACTCCTGCAAAATTGATTTTTGGACGTGAATTGCGTACAAGACCAGCCCGTCTTAATGAAATAGGTGATGATAACGATTAGTGTTCAATCCCAAAAATCTAATGACCAATACAAAGTTTTGAACAGAACATAAAATATGCACCCCCTGGAAACTCTAGAGCTGGAATCAGGTGCATATGAGGAGTTGTTTGGGAAACCGTAGAGATACAAGAAGATAAAATGCGCAAATTGATTCAAAGACCAGCTTGTCAGCTCGCAACAGGTACAAATTAGCCGTCCATGACCACAGAGAATAGGAGATTGATTGATTGATTGTATGTTGTTTTACGTCCCGTTTGAGAATTTTTCACTCATATAGAGACGTCACCATATACCAGTGAGGGGCTTCAAATTAGACCTTTACTCGGCACTCAGGTTTATTGAGCAGTGAGGGTTCTTTATCGTGCCAACACCTACCGTGACACCGGGTCTCGGGTTTTAAGGTCTTATCCAAAGGACCCGCAAATTTCACTTCAAAGTGCCCAGCGCTTGGCGAAGGAACAGTTGCTACTTATTTTTAATTGACTTAGGTCAGTCGCGGCCGTGATTCGAACACACGATCTTCCAATCACGGAGCGAGCGCTCTACCGACTGAGCTACGGTGGGAGATTAGGAGAAGAAATTGGTTCCTTGTACCATAGCAGCGAAAACAGGACCGATTTCATATGAAGTGGAAATTGCAAAATATGGAGAAGACAAACCTACCCGCTTAGACCTTGCAGCATCACAATCGTCTATACTTTACTTTAGCGCGAGGAGGCTGCTGCAACTTCTTCCATCAATCAAATACCGTCACTTAATTAGTCCAAGATAAGGAAACTCAGGTGTCAAAATGAGCCATGTGACATGCACGTTCCATATTACGCGCAAAGTATTTCGTTCACAAAATAAAGCGATATCCAAAACGATCTTCGCGAACTCTCTTCTGAAAAGGACCAGGCTTGAGTTTTGCTAAACTTCTTAAGTTAAGATTTATTCGTAACCTTAACTTACGATAAATTTCTGTCTTATTAAACTTCTTATCTTAAGTTACGTTAAAAATCTTGTCGTAACTTTACGACAGCCTATGGGCTACCCTAAGCTAGGATTTTTTCTTAAGTCTATATAAAAATGGCTGCCTTCATAATGTTTCGCGGCATTTTGAGAGAAAATGAAGACAAATCTCCTCGTCGTCACCGGGCTTATTTCATTTTAAAATCTAATTCCACATGCGCACATGCTTATCTTGTTATTACATCGTCTGTCTCAACCTGGTTTTAAGACATAAAAGGTTTTGTTTGTTTCAATGACAAAAAAGAGGAAATTCATAAAATATATATACATTATGAAAAACGTTAAGTGAAATTTCAGGAAAGATGTCATGGGACATTTAGGTAAAATGTTTTAAAAACGTTTAAAAAACCATACAAAATCACTTGAATAGTACATTTTCAAAAATTTTGTAACATCCCGTGTGTAGAAGTTCCAACTCCCCGTCGATTCTCATTCGGAAGTCACTTGGAATTACTTTGAAGTATTTGGAAGCAATTGGAATTCCAAGTGACTTCCAATTCTTTCGGAAGAATTTTATTTGGTAGAATCTGAATTTGATTTGGAATCTATTGGAACCATTTGGAAGTGCAGATGTTATGTTATCAGGTGATCGGGTTCGAGGTCTTGTTTCGGGCTCGACCTCGTGGATTTTGAAATCAGGCGGTTCAATCATCAACAGTGTTGCATCATGATCACATTAAAGGAGGATTGATCTTCTATGAAGTATATGTAATTCAATGGAGATAATTTACATCTTTTGAATTCATGACTCCTTCATTGGTATCTCCATTTTATGTCACACTTCTCTTGGATAACAGTTAAACCGTTACTCTCAGATTGATCATCATTGCTGAAACTGTGGAAAGTGTCAATATTTTTGGGAAATACTCGTCATTTCGATACGTGTCAGTGCTTGTATCTGATGATAATACAACGTGTTCGACCTTTATTACTTCCGTAAATTCATGAACCCAGGAAATACCCAAATCACCGCTATTCATTAATTGTGACTTGGATTTAAATTTCCCAAAATTATCAGTGAATATTTTAATCAAATCAAAAACAGTTTTACAGGATAATCTTTAACCAGTAAGGTTTGTCTTTTTCAAATACAATGAATATTAAACATTAAATGATGCCAAAAGAGAAGTGTTTTGTGTGATATATATTATCAAATCGCTCGTTGTTTGTTATCTAAACAACATGTTTAAATATAATTAACAAATGAAATCTTGCTTTGATTTGTTGATCACATTTGATTTAGTCATTCGGAATCCATTTGGAAGTCATTTGGAAATTTCTAGAAAATTCTGTATTTTAATTATTTGGAAACAACTTGGAAGTAACTTGGAAGTCATTTGGAACCATTTGGAAATTTGTTCCAATACTCCGAATGGTGATTTGGAAATTCCAAATGAAGAATTCCAAGTGATTTACTTGGAAATTTCAAGTGCAACTTGAAACTTCTATACTCGGGATATTAGGAAAATGTTCTGATAACATTTTCTGAAATATTTTGCTAAAATGTTTTCAAAATATAATGTTTAAAAAAACCACACAAAATCACGTGATTAAAACATTTTTGAAAATCTATTTATATTGATGTTTATATATGTATAAACAGGAGCCACTTAATTAATAATTATGGTATCCTCTGAATATTTCCGTATGTTAACTTTTAACAATTTACATGTATAATTTGTTGAACTAAAATCTTTGTCTTTATACCGAACATCACATTCTGAATTCACACCCAGATTAGAATATCTCGTCATACAAAAGTTTTTTTTCTACTAAAATCAAAAGAGTTAAAACAACCTAAAAACGCATGCTGCTTGTACTAAAAAATAATACTTTCAGTAATATAAATTGTATATAAGCCACAGACGTTGGGGAGAATGGATTCTTTCACAAAGACCAATGATCTTTAAAATGGTATTTGAGAGGTACGTAAATTTTAATGTTTCACTCGAGTGCAGAGTAATCTACAGTTTGCTAATCCATACCCTACACTACGCCATATTGTGTTTAGAACAGCAATGGAACACTGCAAGATTGAGTTCGGTGCTGCTATGAAAAAGGAATGTTTTCATTTTGAGGAGGGATTTACATTTATCAATCATGGGTCCTGTGGAGTGGTACCTACAAAAATCAGGGATAAACAAAAACAGTAAGGTTTCAATTATACGTGAAAAGGGGCGAGTTACACTTCAATTAGATGTAGGAAAACTCATTTTTAACTTTGCTACATTACAGGTAGTAAATATTTTATCTGTCAAGTAATTTCAAGTGGTCATAAATAAAGTCTAATCATTATGCTTTTGGCATTGCTCATATTTTATTCCTTATAAAATTACTCTGAAATGATTTTTGTTATCAATGTATTCAGTTTACAGTGGTCAAATTTGGGTCAGTTTAACATGAAATAAGCATGTTCGAGAACCCGTTGGTTACAAAATATACATTTTTTTTTTTGAAAAATCAGGAATATTAATGAAAGTGTACCTGCTTTGACAACTATATATGGTGAATTATAATATACGTTGCAGATATGCTTTGATAGATATATATATATATATATATATATATATATATATATATATATATATATATATATATATATATATATATATATATATATATATATATATATATATATATATATATATATATATATATGTATGTATGTATGTATGTATGTATATATATATATATATATATATATATATATATATGTATCAACTCTACATGATTAATAATAACATTGTTTTCTGAATCTTTCCTTATGTTAACTTTCAATAATTAACATGTTTATTATGTTGAATCAAAATTTTTGTCTTCATAATCAGCGTCACATTTTGAATTCAGGCCTAGGTTACTGTAACAGTTTTTCCCCGAGTAAAAAACAGAAGAGTTACAACAAATTAAAAAAAAATCGCATGCTGATGGTTGTATACAAAAAAGATAAGTCCTTTTATAAATTGTGTATAAGCCACAGAAATTGGGGGAGGATACAGATTCCTTTACAAAGATTACTGATCCTTAAAATGGTATAACATTAAGAGAAAAGGAAATTTAATGTTTCAGTCGTTCAGCATTGTTGCTAATCCACGCCTTACACTACGCCAGGTTGTGTTTAGAACAACAATGGAACACTGCAAGATAGAGTTCGGTACTGTTATGAAAAAGGAATGTTTTCATTTTGAGGAGGGATATACGTATATCAATCATGGGTCTTATGGAGTAGTACCTACAAAAATCAGGGATAAACAAAAACAGTAAGGTTTGATATTGATTTTGTAAATAAAAACTTAAAGAAGGGCGAGTAACAGCTGCTAGCAGATGTATAACCAATGTCATTTTCTTATACTCTCTGTTACTTTACAGGTAGTAAATTTTATCTGTCAAGTAAATATCAGTGGTAACGCATCCATTAAAACATCTTATCTACTTGCTTTTAGTGTTACTCAAACATTTTTATTCATAAGAAATAACTGAGAAATGTTACTTATTATTGTTGTGTCCAGTCAAATTTGGGTCAGTTTAACAAGAAAAACAACATGTACGAGAACCCAATGGTTACAAAAATGGCCATTATTATAAATAAATCGAGACTATTAAAGTTAGAACAGGCTACATTGATAACTAAATGTTGTGCATACAAATATGTACGGGAATAAAACTTCAATGATGAACTTATTGGAGGTAGTCCGAAACTCAGCTGTTAAGTAAATAAATGGAAAATGCTCACCATATGAAGCTTGTGCTACATGTATCATTGCAAAACATCACAGATCACTTCCAATTTCATATCATGCTAATAAGCATTAGTATCTCATAATTAGTTAGATTAAAGGAAATTTGATTCCTCTAGAAATGCACTTATTTTTGTACATTTATAATGTTACCAATGTCAGCTTTTTACAAGATTGTTTCTAAGACTTCGAAGAACCTTGGATCATATTGAGATGCGTAAAATAAAAATTGTTGCAGAAAAGAATTTAATTTCAAGCTTCATTTTCAAAAATAATAATTTTAAGTGTTATGCTTCCTGGTTCAGGAGCACACATCTTTAAATATATTTACTTAAGTTATCATTTCTTTATGATTTTCAACTTTTAGAAGGCATTGGATTCATTTCTTTTCTGATAAAAGTGAGTGTTTAAAGTATATGTGTATTGCATAATATATTGTAATCTCGAGGTCTCGTCTATATTGAATCACACGTGCATTTTGTATTGATAAGCAAATGTGTAAGTATTCATAATTTTAAAAGATTTCGAATTAATTGGATTTTTGAAATCTCTGTTCCATTCTTAGCACAATAAGACCCTTTACAGATTATTGGATGCTCTGAATGATAACCCTGACGTGTTCTACCGACGGATACTCGTTCAACTGTTCGGCAGGGCTATAGAAGCTGCTGCAAAGTTTCTAGGGGCAGATCCAGCAAACTTGGTGTTTGTGCAAAATGCCACAACAGGTACGTTACACATAATATTGACAATTTTAAAACTTCATGGAGGACTGTGTTTCGTGCGCGGAAAGTTAAAATTCAAGGAAAATTTGTTATCGTATAGAAAGATATGTCATTTTTTTCGTAATCCTTTTATTTCAGGCGTAAACAGCGTCTTGAAAGCATTCCCTTGGCAGAAAGGTGACGAGATTTTGGCGACAGTTTATACGTATAAAGCAGTTGAATATGCTTGTCGAAAGGCAGCCGAGTTTTCAACAGGTAAAAGCTAATTCACACAAAAAACTGCAATGGACATTTTACCAAATCGACAATTTCATATAAAACTTTTCCGTACATATAATCAATTGATGGATACATTCGATGTTGTAGCGCGAAACCTCCACCCGTAGAAGACTTCCCCCTGATTGACAGAAATCAAATTGTCTGTAAATATCGAAAAACGATATGTATACCTCCAGTTTATCAAGTGGTATTACAAGATGTGTTAACAAACCTGACATCATTAATATGCAGGGTTTTGTTTTGTTTTGTTTGTTTGTTTTGTTTTTGTTTTGTTTTTGTTTTTTTGCTTTTTATCACTTTCATTACGTGATTTCATATATTTCACGGTTGAGTAATTTTGAACACCGATTTTAGTGCACAGTAACCAAGAAACCTCTCTAACAAATTATCATAATTATCGGCTCTGAAGTCAATAAGATTTCGCATATTATGTTACCATGCTTTTCTTTTTCCTTTAAGTATTTATGTACAAATAGTTTAATTAATTAGATCTGTTATTTGTTACAATTGGTTTTTCTGTTTCTTAACCAGGAGGACACATCCATCAGTTTGATATACGCTTCCCGATCAATGACGATTCAGAGGTTGTTGACAGCATGACATCATATCTGGACAAGCATCCCAAAATCAAACTTGTGGTTTTAGGTAAGACTTCTTACAAAAAAAGCAAAGGGTATCCCAATTAAATAATAAACCATTTAACATATGTTAAACCCAAATATGTACCCCAATTAAAGTAAAATATGACCAAGCTAAAACTTGATCTCGGACGACATTCACATCGAAATCACCATCAACATCATCACTGTCCATACACAGATCCGTATCCCGCCCTTTTTTAATAACTAGAAACACGGGGTTTTTTTCGGCTACAGGCCTGGAACATTAACATTAATTGTGTCCAAAGCAGATTCCCTCAATTCGTGCATCACAGTGTTCAAAGGACATGCCGATATATGTCATATATTGGTCGTACAGACCTTAATCCGTGCTAGAGTTAACCTTTTTCCTTCATGACTACGACATTAGCACGTACCGGGTGTCTCAAATCATTCCCTACGATGAATGACCAGCCTGAAACTTTTCTGGTCGTCTAAGCTACGTTACAAAGGCATGGGTAGATATGGTATACATGTAGGGACAACAAAGGAAATATGAAGTAAAAGTTCATTTCTAATTGTGCCTCTCAAATAGATTAACTATTTACTTGTAGCTATATAGAGTTAAATGCTGAAATTAAGATTTGTTTAGATGCAACATGATTTATATTTTAATGCTGTATATCAGACAAAACTCATCAATAGGAAGTTGAAGATCTAACTAATGATGTGCATGTTAATTTATAAGCTAAATCTTTGCAAATTAAAGGATCCATTAAAACATAACTTCGTCTCAGTTATGTAAATTGGTATATGTATACGAGTACTCTACTGAAATGGTGATACTAGCTTATAGTCACAACATTGTCAATATACTGTCCTGACATTTAAGTCGTATTCATGTACAAACATTTTTGTAAGCACCTCTGAATGCATTGGCATTTTGACTGAAAACTTGAAAGATTTTCCCTCTTGCCTAGGTGGGTATCATTTCCTTTTGTATGTAGTTCATATAACTCGGTCACCTTGTCTCATTCAGAAAACTATGGTCACTGTGTCAACAAAACAGTATAGTCTTGCTAATTTTTCAGACCATATAACAAGCCCAACAGCTCTGGTGTTCCCAATTAAGAAAATGATAGCGGAAAGTAGAAAGCGAGGGGTTATGGTGTTGATAGACGGTGCACATGCACCAGGACAATTGGAGATAAATTTAGAAGAACTTGATCCGGACTTTTACACAGGAAACTTTCATAAGTGGGTGTTTACACCACGAGGATGTGCAATTCTCTGGATTCGTAAGGAACATCAGGATTGGTGCACTCCTCTTGTGACGTCACACATGTACAAAAAGGGTATTCAGTTGGAATACTGTATTCAAGGGACACGTGATGACATTCCGTACTTCTGCGTACCAGAAGCTATTCAGTTTTACAAAGACGTTGGAGGAATGGTGAGTTACATGTACTAGCACTTATCAGTCGACAGGGGATGTTTATTCCTTCTAGGCACCTAACCCCACCTCTGGAATTTCTAGGGATCCGTGTTAATGCCCTCTTCACAGTTTTGTATTGTTTATAGATATTTTGAGATCGATCGCTGTTCGTTATCTTCACACATTTTATCTAAGCAATTAAAAATTATTCAAACAACGTGTATTTTAAGGAAAAACACACAATTTTACATTTATCACCTAGGAAAAAATAAACAAATATGCCAGAAACCTTTTGGATAAAGCCAGTGCGTTGATAGCAGAGAGATTGGGGACAGAGATGCTGCAGATCCCGAAGTCAATGGAAGCCCCCGGAATGAGACTTGTATTATTACCGGAATATGAAGGCTATGATAAAACTTGGGTAAGAAATACTAAAATGTATCCAATTTTTCTGAACATGACATCATGTGATGGTTAATGTTGTATGATGTAAGGAATAATTGTGCTTTTTTTGGATAGTTGTGTTGGTAAAAAAGAATTTGCAACTTGCAGTACTTCTTGTAGACACCTATAGGGCGTATTGTTATAATTTCCATTTGTGCTAATCAAATTATCACTCTCTATATTTACTATATTATTTTTCTTCAGTATAAACAGATATATGCCTTATGAAGTAAAACTTTGTTATTAGGAAATCTTCGGGAATTGCGTTTTATTCTCTTACATTTACACTTTTTTATTTCCAAAATAGTTTTTAAAATGTTAAATGTGAATGAGTTTTTATTTACTTATGAATAATGTTTCGTCATAACCGAGTTCTTCATATGCAATTTTTTTTTGGACATTTTTTAAAGAAGTAGAATGTATTTGAAATCATTTTAAATAACTATATTGGTAAATAGATTTTAAATAAGGTAAACATTCTTTTAAAACGATATGTAAATGTAATTGTATTATTACTTAAAGTCCTAGGAGCACAGTAGCTGGCGAAGGAATATCGTTTACTTCAGAATAATTTGGTTTGGTGTTATGTGAACAGTGTATGTGCACGAAAATGACGAGTATATCGTGTATATATATATATATATATATATATATATATATATATATATATATATATATATATATATATATATATATATATATATATATATATATATATCATCGTCATCATCATAACTAGAAAACCACAAAACTAAACAAGTAAACTTCACACTGCCATGTTTAATTATCATTCTATTATCATATATATATTTTTTATTATACTTCTGGGAATTGTTTCTACATAAAAGTATGACAAATAAATCTTCTATTTTCTTTCTAAACAGCCCCTACCGTGAATAGTTTTTGTGCTATTTGCCCATGATGAAATAATCATCAAACTATTCACCGGAAGCATTCCATTTTCCTCGTTTTTCATCTCAAAACTATATGGATTGTTGTATTGTGACGTATCTGGTTTGTGACGTAAGAAAAGTAAAGTCGGCTTCGGTATACTAAAACACCTATTTACTGACTATTCGGACAATAGCAAGTTTATCGTTGCCCTCTCGACATCAACTATTTCCCTCGGCTGCGCCTCGAGAAATAGTCGCTGTCTTAAGCTTCGGGGGCGATAAACTTGCTATTATCCTCATAGCCAGTAAATAGGTTTATATATATATATATATATATATATATATATATATATATATATATATATATATATATATATATATATATATATATATAGTAGGTTTGTAAGTTGATCGAATCACCTGAAAGTCACTTCTAATACATATTTGGCGTTTATGCAAATAATTTTGAGCTCAAAGCGACTAACGAATTTCAAAGACCCCTAAAACAACACAATGGTAACTTATATAATAACAATTAATATAAGTTTTGGTAATTTTCAAAAAAAAAAAATTTAAATTTAATTTTAGGAAGGATCGGAGAAACTGTACATGGACATCATGAATCAACATAAAATAAACTGTGTTATTTATCCAGTACAGAGTGAACTCTACTTGAGGCTTTCTGCCAATATCTACAACGAAATGGAGGACTACATAAAAATAGCTGATCTTCTGAGAAAACTACCTAAGAAAAGTTAACAGTTCTGAGCAATTGACGTTAACATTAAACGTACATTGTACAGCTCAGCGCGTGTAAACTATGGTAAAAATTTCTATAATCCTAATCATCCCGAATATATATACTCGTTTACTTTATACTTTGCCAGAGTTGTGCATGTTCTCTGTATCTCAGGGATAGTGATAGGACCTTTAAATTATCTTAAGTCGGGAACTTGGTAGATACATTTTGCACCGTGTTTCCTCTCCATGTTGTGAGCCAAGTGTCTTATAGTATTGAGATTACTCTCCACTGGTGACAAATATGATAAATATCAACGTTCAGATGGGGATCAGACTGACCGGACGTGCCTGATTTCAGCATCGACATTCAAATGTAAAACTGAAAATATATGGATTTGACAGAGTTTCGGCATCAAAAGTAAAGCATTTTTTTAACAATAAAAAAAAGTTTGGTTTTTTTTTGTTTTGTTTTGTTTTGTTTTTAATCAGTAAGAAATTTAAATATTTATGTGAAGTATTCATTAAAAAAAACCTCATATACGAGGGTCGTTAGAAAAGTTCGCGGACACATTGATTTGCGTAAAATTCAATGTGTACTTTGAAGAATGAGGGATATCTGATTAAATTCTTATCTTTTGTTTATTAGTATGTAAAAATTAATACAATAATTTTAACTGTGCGATCATAGGATTCATGGAGCAATCACTTGATGTTTATTTGAAGTTAGGTAACGCGACAACCTAATTCCAAACCTGTCAATCTTAACATTTTAAAATATTTTTCATTTCTATAGATTTTTCATGTCTTTTTCCTACTTAAATATCAAATAACTATATTAAGACATGTTTCTTTTTTCTTAAAATGTCTTTTGTGGATTATTGGATATTAGTGAGATCTTAAAATTAATGTCTACGCCATTAAGCTATCAGGTATGCAAAATCCATTGGCGCAACGTCCGTGCGATTGTAGGGTTTGGGGTATCACTAGGGACGTGTAGGCAATACCAAGCAGCATCTAAAAACAATTTAGTCTCTTTTGGGCATTTTCCTGTCTCCACACATAATTTTTCAATAGCTGGGTGCTCCAAGACGTTCAATGACGTTGTAATTCAAAACCTCGCCAAATGACGTATCATGAATTTTGTAGCGACAGGTGAAATGTCATTAATCTTTATGCGAAACAACAAGTACATTACAGTTCTTAATTTAAAAAAAATGTCTATGTAATGTAAACGTGCGAAAAAGTGAAATGATCCGTAAATCATGTTTTATCTGAATAATATAGCTGTATATTTTTTAAGGATCATCGGAAAACACTAAATCTTTGCATATTTATTGGAAAATAGGTATAGTTTTTATCTGCAGAATTTTACTGGTTTCATGCAAATAGAGCGCTCACAATAGAACTTGTCCGCGAACTTTTCTAACGACCCTCGTAGACGCGTCACTATATACTGGTTAAGGACTTCAAATTTAGACCTTAACTCGGCACATAAGTCCATTGAGCAGTGAGGGCTCTTTATTGTGCCAACGCCAACCGTGCCACAGAAGCTTGGTTTTTAAGTCTCGTCCAAAAGACCAGTTTCGTTCGCTTCTAGTGCCTGGCTCTTAGCAAAGGAACAGTGACTACCTTTATTTATGTCCTAGGTTTTACGCGGCGAAAAGATTCAAACCAGGGTCTCCCGATCACAAAGCGAACTCTACCATAGGCTACCATGACCAGTCTAGAAAAAAGTGAAGTCATCACGTGTATCATTTTCTTTAGTTAGTTTGGTATCAATGTCTTTCTCTAGTAAAGCATCCAGATATGAAACAGATATGACAGACTCTGTGGTGTCTCATTTCGAGTTCAATGGGATATATCGAATCAACATATGAATGAAAATATATATTGTTAATTGATAAAACGTCATGGACATTTTTCAAAGTAGAAATGAAGACCACAGCTAGATTCTTCTTTTTATGTAGAAGTTTTTGAATTAATTCTGCTACATAATAATATGAAAACAGGTCTGCAAATAATAAAGCCCTGATCTCAAAAGACCATATAGGTAGATGTATTTTTCATTGAAACTCAAGCATCTATTTACATGTAATATTAACATATTTACATGTAATATTAATATATTTACATGTAATATTAACATATTTACATGTAATATTAACATATTTACATGTAATATTAATATACAAGTAGAATCAGAATGAAAGAAAAATTTGCGAGATCCAATTTTATTGAAGAAAGAGCTGTATATGATGTCAAAAGCTTGGTCTTTATTCTAGGAAGTGGTAGTAGAAAGTGTTACGAAGAAAGCCATACGTTTTAATACAATTGATTTTCGCGAAATCTTTTGATTAAAATTTTTTTTAGGAGATTCCCGAAGTGTTGGCCATTTTGCGAAAAAAAGCAATTTATGATTATTTCGAAATAAATAATAAGAATTTTTTACATTCGGAAAACTTCAGATGATTCCGTCGCCTTCAATCAAACAGATGAGGCACGAATCGGCCGAGATATGCCGAGTGGATTTTTTAATTAAATTTCTTTTCGTTTTCATAATATTTGTAATGTTAAGCGTAAAGTTTTTGCGCACTTATTTCTGTGTGCTTAGGTCAAGGGTATTTAAATCCGGTCTTAAGGCGTATTGGCCATTCAAGTTAGTACTCAGCTATAAATAGCAAATAATACCATGAAAATTGATATCGAACACGATTTTTTGGGAGGTGTTTATTTATAAGTTGTTTATAATATATTTTCTATTTCAGTTTTGAATGTACAGAATTTGCAGTATAATTTTTATTAAAAGAATTTCTCAGGGTATAATACATTAGTATTGTATATTATAGGTACTTATAACAGTATTTATCTTGTACATATCGCTATTAAAAGTATTAAAAATAATTCACTCTACGAGACCAAGAAGACTTTATATAAACATTTTAATATTGTATATCATAGGGAGGATTATGAGAATTATTATGTTATTTAGATCCGAGTACATTACTCATATCTAATAAACACTGTAAATTAATATCATGTTCTGTTTTTTTTAGTATGGATCAGAAAAGAAATGTTTTATTTGCGGATGAACGGAGTGAAGTAGAAAATAAAGTCACTCTGTAAATACGTCGACAACACTTTGGTAGTTGTTGACTAAATTTTGGAACATACATATATCTATCGAATGAAACGATACTTTTCAAGGAAAGGAAATTTATGTAATAGAAAGCTAATAATCTATCTTTTAAAGACCAGTTCGATTAATTCGTTATCTTTGTAAGTTACTGACCTGAACAATTCTGTCTAATAAGCAGTATTTTTAAAATAAAATACAAAAGCTTTTAAAAGTAATGTTTTATATGAACATGCGATTAAGATGTAATTGAAAAGAAAATGGGTCTGCTTCTTAAAAAAATAGTTTCTCTAAAAAACCCACTGTTTTCAATACATACGAGATGTCGAGGCACAGTTTCAATGGTACACTTGTTCGTATGTAGTACATGTACAAATATTTTATGATTTTTTTATCGATAGACCTCCAATATAAATTTTGACGAATAAATGTAATTGTTGATGGACCATATTTTTATACGCCCGTCTTAAGACGGGACGTATTATGTTATGGCGTTCATGTCCGACCGTCCGTCTGTCTGTCCGTCTGTCTGTCTGTTAGCTTTTCTCGTGTCCGGCTCATAACTTAAATACTATTAGGCCTAGAATTATCAAACTTTGTCAGCTGATACTTTTTGGGTAGAAGGTGTGTCGCGCATTAAAAGAAGGTCGCTGTGACCTTTAATTAAGATGCTATGGCCAAATATGGAAAAATCCTGTCCGGCTCATAACTAGAAAACTATTAGACCTAGAATCATCAAATTTGGCCAATTAATGCGTCTTAGGTAGAAGGTGTGTCGCACCCTACTTCAAGGTCACTGTGACCTTTAATTTCAGTGAAATGTTTTAAAAACTACGTCTTTTAACTTTTAAATCACACAATCCAAAAAAATGTAAGAGTATTGCAGTATCCTTATTAAAACAATGTTAAATCAAGAAAATACTTTTTTTCATGATATACTTTACAGCAATCTATAACAAATGTAATGTTATAAGAGAAATTCCAACTCTCCCCATGGGTGTAATTATCAAGCAACTGGTCAAGGAGAATTTTGATAACAGAAAATTGCATGTCAAATTAGAGTGAAATTAATGAGTTTAGTGTGAGGAGATAACTGGTAGAGCATCTCTGATCAAGCAGGTGTTATCTATATCTCTTGGGAATTGGGCGGAAAAATCAGCCTCTTATTGCTTGTGTTGGATTAAATAATTTTTGTTAACTAGCCCCTTAACTTTCAAAATAAATTTGGTGTAAAGTAATTAAAACTAATTTGATATTGTATAATATAATTAAAACTAATTTGATATTTTATAATATAATTAAAACTAATTATACCCGGGGGGGGGGGCGTATATTGGAATCAACATGTTCATCTGTCCATATGAATTGCAGCTTAAAACCAGTCATTAAATTTCAAAATAAAATCACCAAGTATTGAAAAAAATGCTTTATCGTACATGTAGATAGTACCTACAAATCTAAGAGTCATGCAGTAACCTTATTAAAAATGTTGCATCATGATTATACAATTTTTTTTTTCATTTTATAAATCTTTGTAACAAATTTAAAAAAAAATTAAAAATATTTGTTTTCAACAGAATGACATAACTATGCATTTTTATTGTGACTACAAAGCAGAAAGTGCAGATCCTTTCGTCCCTTGGGAGTAATGAGTGGACATGCATCCAGTTAAAGATTAATTAATGTGTTTAATGTAGGAAGGCTAGCTGTCTCAATCACTTCTGTTAGATCATCTCTGATCAAGCAGCTCTTATCTGTATCCTTTGGGAATTAGGCAGAACTGCTGGTCTCTTTCTTAATTGTAGTTGATAGCAAATTATGGCACTTGATGGCCACTTTCAAAATTAATTTGGTATAGATTAAGTTGTTAAGACTAATTTGATATTGTTTAATATGATATTTTTATTTATTTACAGGTATTTTTTTTTAAATATCAACAAACAAATTTCAGAGTACCATGTCTCACAAATATAAAAGATGGTTGCAATCCATCAATTTTTACAAACTAATAAAAAACATTATGATTATTAATATTTTGATGTTTTGTTAGGCTGCACTAGCTTAGCTAAGTTGTAATTAAATTTCAAAAAAAGAATCGGGGGGGGGGGGGGGGGAAATAAGACGAGTCAATTAAATGCCCATGCCCATTTTGCGGTGTAATATTTGAGGGGCGTATCATGCTGTGGCGGGGCACTTTATTTGTACTTGTGAAACAAACTTTTGGTTGTACAGAGTCTAGTGTATATTCCTAAGTGAAAGCATTTTTGTAAATGTCTTATCCTCATGCTTACATGTTTGTTTCCATAAATGACCATTGCTTACGAGGTGCCGAACTGCATTTAAGTTTTGAAATATTACTTAAATATTTATAATAAGATTGAGTTTTTTTTATTGGATACTTCACATAAATGTTTAAATTTCTTACTGATTAAAAAAAACAAAACAAAAAAACCCAAACTTTTTTTATTGTTAAAAAAATGTTTTACTTTTGACGCCGAAACTCTGTCAAATTCATATATTTTCAGTTTTACATTTGAATATCGATGCTGAAATCAGGCATGTCCGGTCAGTCTGATCCCCATCTGAACGTTGATATTTATCATATTTGTCACCAGTGGAGAGTAATCTCAATACTATAAGACACTCGGCTCACAACATGGAGAGGAAACACGGTGCAAAATGTCTCTACCAAGTTCCCGACTTAAGATAATTTAAAGGTCCTATCACTATCCCTGAGATACAGAGAACATGCACAACTCTGGCAAAGTATGAAGTAAACGAGTATATATATCCGGGATGATTAGGATTATAGAAATTTTTACCATAGTTTACACGCGCTGAGCTGTACAATGTACGTTTAATGTTAACGTCAATTGCTCAGAACTGTTAACTTTTCTTAGGTAGTTTTCTCAGAAGATCCGCTATTTTTATGTAGTCCTCCATTTCGTTGTAGATATTGGCAGAAAGCCTCAAGTAGAGTTCACTCTGTACTGGATAAATAACACAGTTTATTTTATGTTGATTCATGATGTCCATGTACAGTTTCTCCGATCCTTCTTAAAATTAAATTTAAAAAAATCTTTGAAAATTTCCAAAACTTACATTAATTGTTATTATATAAGTTACCATTGTGTTGTTTTAGGGGTCTTTGAAATTCGTTAGTCGCTTTGAGCTCGAATGGGGCGTAAAACTACATATTTGTACGATCAATTTATCAATAATTTTTCTAATGTCATTGGTTTTTTTTTTATTTTATTTATGCAGCATTAAACCATTATCAACGCATATGGGGTTTATGTCTTCTATTTGGTTCGATATGCTAAAGCATGTTGTACGTGCGAATAATTTCTTGAACATGCAAGATACGGATAACTAAGTTTATGATACAACGTTTTCCACAATATTTTCCACAATCTAATTAAAAGACAATATTTTGATTTTTTTAGTCAAAGCAGGCTACTCATGCATAAGTTGATGTTGCAAGGATTTCAACAACCTCGTTTAAAGTCAGCATTCCGTTAATTCTATGGTTGTTTTAATGACTTTATTAGTAAATATAACCTATCACTGGATCGTGTTTTGGCTGATTTGTTTCACACCAATTGTTAGGCCTTTATTTTTGTACTATTGTACTAACTTGACTATTAATGTTCCGTCTACTTGATCAATATATAAGGCTCACAGCGGGTGTGACCTGTCAACAGGAGAGGCTAACTCCTCCTAGGCACCTGAGCCCACCCCTGGAATTTCCATGGGTCCGTCCTTATACCCTGTTCGCAGATTTGTATAGTTTTAAGTTTTTTGAGATCGATTACTGTTCGTTATCTTTAACCTTATAAATCGACGCAACAACCTTGTTTGCATACACAATCTCTCGTTGGGTCGAATGTTAACTGACATCTATCATACAAATTCCGTTTGTAAAATCCATGTCTACTGGTTCCAGTTCAGGTCTTAGGTTAGAGTTAAGTTCTTCATAGTTGTCCGCATGGCGCAGTAGTAGAGCTTTTGCTCTAGAGTCGCGGAGTAAAGAGTTGATTCTTACGTCGCGGGTTCGAATCCCACTGCGGGACGTTAAGACTAGTTCTTCGGATGAGACCGTATTATTGCAGTAGATGCTTGCACGGAAAACATCCCTCATTGCTCAAAGGCATAAGTGCCGAGTACAGCTTTAAATCTGCAGCCCTCCACCGGCAAGTGTTGGTGTCTATTAAACAAAGCTTAAGTGAATCCATTATACTTCAAATTATTCAAAAGTTCAAGACGGGGCTGAGATGGACATAGCCTGATAAATTCATGATACTCGGGTGACCGTTAAGGTCTAAAGGCCTCTTTGGTTCTGTGAAGCCTTCTTATGTCCCTCTGATAAGAGAGATACACACATGTAGCTTCAGAAGTTAAATCCAAAATATCTGAAAATATAATTCATCAGGATTTTTTATTAAGTCTATTTACCTGACTAACTGTAATATTCCTACATGTGCATCACAGCCTTTGGCAAAAAGTTTAAATGTTTTCTAATATTATGTTGTAGTTTCTTTTATCAAAATATTTCATAGTTATTTATAGTTCTCTAACTTGAACATTTGCACCCAGCTTATTTTCCTGTCATAAATAAAAATATTTCTATTTCTTTATAAGAAGTAAAATAAGTTATATAATTTACAGTGTACTACGTAGAGTAGAATATTTTTTTTTAGAAAAAAAAAAGAAAAAGAAAAAGACAGGAGGATGACAAATCTTGCTGATAGAGGCATTTTTTGCAAGCAGAGATAACAACCTGATACTTTGACTTTAATAAATTGCCTCATTGTGATTTCTGATAAAAATTTAATATTTCTGACACTTATTTTTAAATACGCCTCTTATTTTTAATTTTATGTTGTGATAATAATTTAGTGCTTTTTTCTATTTACTATCAAATTTTCTTCATACCAGGGTTATATATAAGAAATGGAAGAATAACTCAATAAATCAAATCTTTTTCCATTTGAATCTTTTATTGTTGATGAAAATTAATTTCAGGAATTTTAAGATGAAGTAAAAAAAAAAATCTGTTCATACCTTGTTTTATCCAATATATATGTACTTTCTGACCTTCCATTTGTCGATAACATTGAACATTGATGTACAAGTATGAACCCTTATTGTTTCGTTGGCTGCCTAGTTGCTAGAGCTCATTTTTTTTATGCCGTAGACACAAACACATCTGTATGGTCGACAATCACTCATCTTATTTTGACATCCGATTTACTTCAATTTATGCCACTAGAAAATTCTTTAGTATTTCTAAATTCACTTTTGTTAATAATTGTGCACTTTCTGAGATAATATGTGCAGCAAAAAAAATGGTTTTATCTTAAGAGGCTAATAGAGTTTTTTTGCTTTCAGATTGTTTGTATGTAATGTATTCATTAAAACAATTTTTAAAATATATACACGATAAGCTCGGGAGATCTGTACGCTGTCTGACTAAATTCTAACGACATCTGGAGTTGCTCATTGAATAATGAACCTAGATGTTTTTGATCGTCTAAAAATTGCTTAAGGATGCATAACACAAACAAAAATATAATGCCTGGATTGATATATTTTTTGACTGATTTTGAATAGAAATGACATAAATAATAAATCCTTAAATTATAAAGAAATCCTAATTGTGTGTGTGTGTGTGTGTGTGTGTGCTTAAATATGCGACTTTGTTTTGTTTTCTATATAATTTTATACAAAATTTTGCATATATTTTTAACATTGCGACAAAATCTTACAAAATTCCTAATTGTGTGTGTGTGTGTGTGTGTGCTTAAATATGCGATTTTGTTTTGTTTTCTATATAATTTTATACAAAATTTTGCATATATTTTTAACATTGCGACAAAATCTTACAAAATTCCTAATTGTGTGTGTGTGTGTGTGTGTGTGCTTAAATATGCGATTTTGTTTTGTTTTCTATATAATTTTATACAAAATTTTGCATATATTTTTAACATTGCGACAAAATCTTACAAAATTCCTAATTGTGTGTGTGTGTGTGTGTGTGTGTGTGCTTAAATATGCGATTTTGTTTTGTTTTCTATATAATTTTATACAAAATTTTGCATATATTTTTAACATTGCGACAAAATCTTACAAAATTATCCCACTTTACCTGGCAAATATTATTCGGGTTACTAATTTGAATATAAATCTATATTAGAAATTTTGCTGATTTCTGAAAAAAGTTTGTGTGTTATTTATCCTTAAACTTTCATCAAAAAACCGTTTTTATTTCTTTTTTCTTCCTCCAAATTTAATCTTCTTCAAGAGTACATCTATTCAATGGTACACTAAATATATTTTCGAGAAACTGGTTGTTTTACATGTATTATTTCGTGTATATATCTGGTATAGTTGTAGGAAGCTGAGTGGTCAAAACTTACCATACAGATCAACCTTATTTTTGAAAAATGATTTTTACAGCCATGTGTTCCAGCTACAATATCCAATGCAATTTCCTATACATTTTATACAGAGTTAATTTTTTTCTAGGAGGTTTTAATGGTTTAAATACGACCATTACCACCCAGTCCTCATGGATTTATTTCAGCTTTAGTTTCAAAGGAAATATTTTATGAATTATTCAGTAAGAATAAATTCTGTATTAAAATGCTTTTCTGGCAATCTATTTGAATCCCTTCACTTCGAATTGCAATATGCCTCACTAATAAGGAACTTACCTGTCCGCTTTTTTACATACAAAGATTTTAAAAACGATTCGTCAAGGTGGGCTGAGAAATAAATTTCCATTTGGAAAAACCAAGATAGTGATTAACTGCGCATAATTCCAAAAGAAGAGTTAACTATTTACGTGTGTGTATTCTTGATATTTCTGTCTTACATCAATATAAGTATAAAATCGACAAAATTTTCAAACTTGACCTCCCGATCCTGTACTTATGCCATTGTTTGATCATGTGATTAAGAATTGAAGATTTATACGACAAGAATATTTTTAAACTAGAGAAGTGCACTTATTCAGAAAAGACCAGGATGCCTGATGCTAGGATACCTCTCTATGCTATACCGGTTGGTTTGTTTTCCTGGATAGTTGCCCTTTTAACACCCGGATGGATAATTAACAAAAGAGAGGGAGGTAAATATATTTGAACAAACACTTATATATATATATATATATATATATATATATATATATATATATATATATATATATATATATATATATATATATATATATATATATATATATATATATATATATATATATATCAACTAAGTAGGCTATCATAACGGCAGTCTACAGTGACAGCGTCTTTCGCTATTGACAGTAGTTGTTTGTCCGTATGTTTTGTTCTTCCCGAGGACTCGATGAAAAAGCTTCCGCTTCGAAAACTCCCATTTCACTCGTATACTAGGGATCTTGTGATATTTTTATATGTTTTTTCTTCTGTAGTCATTTAAAGTCTCTTAGGGCGTCATTACTACATCTAATCAAATTGAACTGCTCTCCGGTGCGCCGTAACGTCATCAAACATTGCCATTTTTCGTGAGTTGTGTTTACCACTTTTGAATTTAAAATGCTCGGGAAATTGCCAAAAATTAAGCAAATGCCTCTGAACATTCAATCATAATAACATCTTTATTTTTGTTCATATTTAATTTAAAAATAAACAAGATGCAATAAAATATGATAAACAAACATTTGCTGAAAATTTCAGCTAAGTGCGCCCATTATTTGTTGATAAAAACGCTTTGTCCATGGGTTGTCCATAAAGTTGGTGGATAAATGCTATAATTTACTAGATAAAGTCCGCAATGGCAAATGTGTACAATTATATTTTAATATAGACCACGTTTTAGTTAATATGTAAAAATTAAAACAATACATACTGATTTAAGAACCTTAAAGATCTAAATTACTTTCTATATGCAAGCCGCACGTCCAGTCTGAAGTACAGCTAATTTCATTTAAATGTCAAAATATGCATTTTGAATTTTTATTACATGTACAAGGACATGCATCATTTTCTGGATTAAACCACACTGCCAAGGGTGTGCAATAATATTGACATATAGTCCATTATTGGATTTATTTTTGAAATTCAAAACAATACACGATAATTTATGAGCGTCGTCAATATAAACAGTTCGTATACACAAGCTGCACCGCCCAGTCCGACGTTGCGCTTGATTTATAAAGTCATGAATAGGGATATTCTTTTTTCATCAAGTAGCAGTGGTAGTGTCTCCAAAATTATACACACCATTGAAAAATCGTATTTACAAAATTTCAAATCAATAAACTCTAATTTTTCAAAAAATTCAAGTTATTTGAATAAATATTTTGACTCTGTTCCGTTCGGATGGCCGACGTCACTTTTTCTGTCAATTTTTGAAACATATTTCTTAAGGTTTTTTTCTTTATATTTTCACGATATGTATAGAAAGTGATACTAAAGCTATCAGAATATAACGATAGCCGCTTCATTTGTGACACATTCAATTTTTATTAAGCTTTGACTGGTTTTATTAAAAAAACCAATCATTTTCATCAGAACACTTTATTTCAAAGTTTATGGTATTTTAACCCTGAGTCGTGCGCACTAGCTAACACATCTAATTTTACAAATATAGTAAGTTCAAATAATAAAAAACAAAGTATTCTGACTTGGATTTTTCTAGAACCATTTATTTTGACAAAATGGTCATTGTCCACGAACTTAATGGACAACTCTAAAATATATATATATATATATATATATATATATATATATATATATATATATATATACAATATTGCAATTTAGAAACTATTCGTTTGTTCGAAATGCATAAAATTAATTTATCAGAACACTCCTTTCATAATGATGTATCATGTGATATTATGAAGACAATAAAATTAGAATAACCTGACCAATGAATTGTATCCTTTGAGTATAGTTTATGGATCAACAGAGAGTTATTATAGTATCTTTTATGCTATAACCTGTACACCGGAAACGTCCTGCCTGTCAACTTTTTCCTTTGATTGGGGTAAGTCTCTCTCTCTCTCTCTCTCTCTCTCTCTGTGGGTGTGTGTGGGGGAGGTGTGATAAATGATCAAAATTAATTATTCAGTCACTTTAGAACCCTTCTTCTACGCGTAGAAAGGACTTGATTTTTTAAATGAAAATCAGAAGCAAATTAAGCTTTTATTGAAATGTTTTTCTAGCCTTGATTGATATTCATTTGGCCAGCATACTCTCTCTTATTCTGTGTGGAGTCGGCTGTCGGATTCTTTGGGTTTCTATCAAAATTTGGCCTTTAGATCCCAAAAAGGCTGTTATAGGAGGAGTTTTAGTTCTCATTGCAGGTGAGAATATTGATCTAAAATGCTTTTGTCAAATTTTTGAAATTAATGGGTTTTTTTTATAATCCAGCTAAATAAATACGAAATACGATTCATTTTATGAGTTAAAAATTATATTTACAAATATATCGTTGTACAGCTACATTTGAACACGTCCTGTTGATTCGATTTTATACCTGCTACTTCGAAGGTGGTGGAACAGAATGTTCTAATGGAGTTCCGTATTCTGTTATCATTGCTGGACTGGGCTTCTTGTTGGTTCTATTCTCCGTGGTGGTGATTCTTATTCGCTATATTGCACCACAAACACAGGTGGAGAATGACCAGTTAATATCAGGTAAAACGGACTGATGACAAAAGACCAGGTAATACTGTAAGCGGTGTATTACCTTTGGTGGAAAGTAGTTTCCACTTAATCAAGTAAATGTCTAGAGTATAAATGTATATATTAATAACTAAAAAAAAAAATAACTAGCACACTCTGATATGCGCTAAATCAAATTTACGCTAACTTGCAGAAAGTCAATTTCCGCAAAATATCGTACATGCTAAATAAAATACATTTGAATACTGTTCGTTATCTCCATATATTTCATTACAGTATATTGTGAGCTGCATATACTAGATATTTAAAATGTTTTTTCTTTTAAAAACTGGTTGAAAACGGACTACAGCTTATAAAAATGCTTTTCTAATTAAAAGTGTTTTAAGAAATCTTTAAGGGAAAATATGATTATGGTCTTGTTTACTTTATGGTGAATTTGTTGCATGCATGTAATAACTGGAAATATTCTCTAAAACAAAAACAAAAAAACAACAGTAAGGCCATATTTAAAGTAATGTGTTTTTTGTCCTCTCTCGACTCAGGATAAAAAAATAAGGTCCTTAGGTAGGTGGAATATTTTTTCTCCAGAAATTTTCAACATGAATGCCCATTCTTCAATATGTATTAATGCTGATATCAATATCTATAAAAAAAAAAAAATTGAAGGTATTTAAAGAATTAAAAAGTTTTTTCGACATGAGAAATAATTGAATGATAAAGAAGCGTTTCCTGGAATTTTTTAGCCTGTCGGTTAGAAGAGGGCAAGCAAACATTTTTTTTAAATGACCTTATTATGTATTTCATTGACAAAAAGATGTGCGCGTTTGAACAATTTAGTGAAAGGATTTTTCAAGAAATCCACCTTCCCTTTGCATGTACATAAGCAGACAAAGTAAGTGCATGGTTCAAATGCTCCTTCAAAATTGTGAATTTCATGACCCCAGGGTCAGGGCTTCTGGTGTTGGTAGGGCGAGGCTCTATTGATTTTTAAGTGAAAATGCATCATTTCTTTGAAACTCTTCTTCTGTGCTCACGGGTATTGAGCAGATAAACTACTTGCATGATTTTGTTCAGCTATATATGGTGCCTCTTTCAAAATTGTGAAATTCACAAAAGGTCCCTAGATCAGAAGTTTTGCTGTAAGGGTAGGAATCTACTGATAATAGTAACATGCATTAATCCTTTTAAAATCTTCTACACTTTCTCTGGGTATTTAAGCAAACTAACTACATGGTTATAATGAGCAAGGGTGCCTTTTCAAAAATTATGAAATTCATGGCCTCAAACTGCAGAAGTTTTAATGTTAGGGGGGTTAGGGGGCTCCATTGATCATATAGTAAAATGCATATATATATATATATATATATATATATATATATATATATATATATATATATATATATATATATATATATATCTTTTAATTTTCTTCTATGGCCCTTGGTGTTTTGCAGACACACTTATTGCATGGTTATAATGAGCAAGGATACCTCTTCCGAAATTCTTCATTCATTCTTGATTTCAAAGCCCCTGGGTGAGGGTTCTTGTGTAAGGGCTGGGCTCTCATGATTATATAGTAAAATGTGTAAGTGTAAGGGTGGGGCTCTATTATTCATATAGTGAAATGCATGCTATTTTTTTCTGGCCCTAGGTATTGAGCAGACAAACAAATTCCACTTTTATGATTAGCACGGATGCCTCTACCAAAATTGTGAATTTCGTGGCCTCCGCGGTTAAGGGTTTTGGTGTAAGAGTGGGATTGTTTTGATCGTATTGTAAAATGCATTTAAAATTCATTGAAAATCTACACTCGCATTGGGTATTCAGCAGAAAAACAATGGCACAGCTGGTTTTGAAAAGCAAGAATACTTCTCCCAACATTGTAAATTTTATGGCCCCTGGGTCAGGTAGGGCTTCATTAATCATTTTGTAAAATGCAATGTATATTATTTTTAAAAATCTTCTGTGATCTTGAGTATTTAGTAGACAAACTAATTGGATTCCAACGATGAGCAAGTATACCTCTTCCAATGTAGTGATATTCATGGCCCCTTGGGTAGGGGTTTGGTAATATTAATTGATTGAATGTTGTTTTATTTCTAGTTCGAGATTTTTTCACTCATATTGAGGCGTCACCATATACCGGTGAAGGGATTCAAATTTAGACCTTTACACTGCACGCTGGGCCATTGAGCAGTGAGGGTTCTTTATAATTATCGTGCCAACGCCTACCGTGACACGGGGCCTCGGTTTATAAGAACCCGCAACTTTCACTTTAAAGTGCCGAACGCTTGGCGAGGAACAGTTGCGACCTATTTTATCGACTTGGGTCAGTTGCGGCGTTGATTCGAACATACGACCTTCCGATCACGGAGCGAGGGGTTTGGTAATAGGACAGGGCTCTTAGGACAAATCGTCTTCTATGTCCCTGAGTAATTAGTAAACAAACAACCCGTTATTGCATGATTATAATGAGCAAAGCTACCTCTTCCAAAATTTCATAACCTCGAGGTCAGGAGTTTCTATGTTAGGGTTGGGCTTTATATTGATCATACACATGTAGTTAAATGCATATTTAATGCTTTAAAAATCTTCTCTATCCCTGGGTATTTAGCAGACAAAATATATGCATAGCTTTGTTGCGCACTGATTCCTTTCCAAAATTGTGAAATACATGTCCTGCCCCCGGGGGGTGGGGAGGGTTATGGTGGGTGGTATCATGGCGGGGCTCTGTTGATTATATAGTGAAAATGCACTAATTCTTTGAAAACCATCTTTTTTGCCACTAAGTATTCAGCAGATAAACTAAATGCATGGTTGTGATAAGCTAGGATGCCTCTTCCACATTTGAGAAACATAACCCGTGGTTCAGGGGTTCTGATGTTATGAGGGGTGGGGGACTTTGTTTATCATAAAGTGAATATGTATAAAGTCCGTCAAAATCTACTTTTCTCCCACTGTACATTCACCAGACAAAATAAGTGCATGGTTATGATGAGCAAGGTTGCCTCTTTCGAAATTGTGAAATTCCTGACCCTTGTATCAGAGGTTTTGGTGTTCAGGGACGGCTCTATTCATAATGTAGTGTAAATATTTTATTTTATTATTATTATTAATTTTTTTATTTTTTTTTGAAAATCTTTTCTACTTCTGGACAACTACGAGGCACACAGAGTACAAAGTTGTGGTCAGTTAGCTGCAGAACTGTAGCTCTCTGCTTGAGAAAATTCGGACAGACAAAGCAGAGAGCTACAGATTTACGCCGCCGCTTTTTTGCTCTCTTGGGGTATTATCTCTTGTATTTAATACTTTCCCCCACTTTAAAAATAGTATCCGATAATTAATCATATATTTTACTCGTATTCTTGATACCTTGTTTACCTTTCAACGGTCCCAAACAGCCGTTAATGGTTTTGTAATGTCGGTTTTAAAAATTCCCATTCCGACGTCCATGTTGGGGGTCGTGCGAAAAAAAATGTCTTTCAAAAAAACATATACTTGCCGAGAAAATGTAAATAAAATATTCAGGAGGTTCAAGTATCATGTATAATGTCTACAAAGAATACAATACGTGTGTAAAAAAAAAAAGAAAAGAAATGAAATAAATAAAACTCGGGCGTATTTTTTGAGGATGACACCAACGTCGACGTCGGAATGCATTTTTTTTTTTTTACTGATATTCAAAAACCACATACGACCGTCTGGAACCGTTTAAAGGTAAATAAAGTATCAGGAATAGGAGTAAAATATATGATTAATTATCGGATACTATTTTTAAAGTAGGGGAAAGTATTAAATACAAGAGATAATACCCGAAGAGAGCGACAAAAAAGCGGCGGCCTAAATAGAAGGTTTTTACAACGCTTGGATCTGTAGCTCTCTGCTTTGTCTGTCCGAATTTTCTCAAGAAGAGAGCTACAGTTCTGCAGCTAGCGGTCAGCAAGAGTGATTTTGACAGATTTGTAAAATACTGGACCTTTGATCTGAGTGTTCTACTTCTGGGCAGGGCTCTATTTATCTAATAAAGAAGTTTGTACTCTAATGAGAGGGGTTATTTCCCTTTGCTAATCACTGTAGATAATGTACTTGTGGGTCGATTAAATATCGTAAAACGGGTTATTTTAGCGACCGATTTTATCGAAAAAGTAACCATTTATTCTTAGCGTAATTAATCATGAGGTATTTTAGGGATACTTTCTTTATTTAGTTATAAATATTTATGATTAATTTTTTTTAGCAACACCTTATATTAGTGATACCAAAACATTTGCTATTAATGCCAAAATTAGAAGATCGCTAAATATTCCCTTTATACGGTAAAAGAAATATTCAAAATTTTAATGTATCATACAAAACTTGTAAAAAATAGATTAATAAAAATGAGAGAATCCAGATGTGTTTAAGAAAAACGTATGCCCCCGTATGGCAACTTACGGCGAGGGTTAAAGTCTCCCAAATGCAAGTCAAATTCCAAGGACAAGAGATGAAAAATGTTGTTACCCAAAGAACGGACTTGTCTCAGAAAAAGTACCTGTGAAATATGAACGCCCAAGCGCCAACCATTCAAAAGTTATGGCCAAGTTAAAGTTTTCTTAAAAACCTGGTCAAACTCAAAGGTCAAGGCCAAGGGTAAAAATTAAAGGTAGCTTGAGGGAAGGCCTTGTTACAAGAAATACACATATGAAAGGTCAAGGTCAAAAATATTTATACCCATGGAAAGGTCTTTTACAATGGTTACATATTTGAAGTATGAAAGCCATAGTATCAACTCTTTAAAGGTTTTGTCCAAGGTTAAAGTTTGGTAATTTTTTGCAAAAGTGGGTCAAATTCCAAGGTCAAGATTAAGTGGTCAAATATTTTGGTTCCCAAAGAAAGGTCTTGTCACAAGAAAGGCACATGTAAAATATGAAAGTCATGAGTTCACCCAATCAAAAGTTATGGGCAAGGTAAGTTTTTGTGGACAAACAGACAGCTAGACAGACAGACAGACGGACGGACGGACGGACAGGGCAAAAACTATATACCCCCGAATCTTCGATTATGGGGCATAAAAATACGTCATCTTTTTTACAATAAATGTTCTTCAAAAGACCAAGAGACACAAAGTGAGTCCATTCTGAGAGGGAATGCAATGGATTTACTGTATGAGCATTATCGATTGTATATATATGTACTGCATGGTAAATGAAAGTAATTAACACTGCTAATTAGTACTATACTAACTCTTTTGTTGATCCCTGATCATCTCATTTACATGCATTGGGTTACATATCTTCTTCTCTCAGTTTATTTTTATTTTATTCCATACTTTTAAGGATCGTTACAGTGTTTTATTAGTGACTGTTACGAATAATCATGAAGTATGGAGATAATGAACAGTATTCAAGCTCAAAACTCCATTCAAACAATACAAATCAGGAGCAGAGCAATCACGGACCTCTAAAACATCAGAGGTGGGATCAGGTGCCATGGAGGAGTGAGCATTCCCTGCCGGACGGTCCCACCCACCGTGTGCTCCCTGTCATGATCGGAAAATAACGGGAAAATCCGTAGACAATTCAGTGTGTAAATAATGGCCTAACAATAAGTATGCAAAACGTCCATCAGCAGATTGTAATTGCTGACAAGGTCATTGTATCGACCATAGAACTTGCAAAATAATGACTTTAAACGAGACTGTTGATATTCTTGTTTCATCAACTTGTTAGCAATTATTTGACCGAGATAAAGCCGAGTTATTGAGATATTTTTTTCAGAGGAAACTAGGACGGTTAAAACCAGAGCACTTCCTGTTGCTTTACTGGCTGGTATACTGTTCAAGATCGTTGCCTTTGTAACACCGGGTTGGATACGGTCTGTAGAGGTAATGTCATAAATCCAGAACGATAAATAGCAGTAAAGAAATACACTTTCTTCCGAATTAAATACGTATACTGTTTGTTATTACAGGGAACACGTCGTACAACTTGGATTGGAATCTTCTACTCAAGGACTTTTGAAGGAAACACTAGTTGGACATCTTTTTTTGATAACAACCGTAAATGCTCTCTCTCTCTCCTTATATATATATATATATATATATATATATATATATATATATATATATATATATATATATATATATATATATATATATATATATATATAATATATAATATATATATATATATATATGACATATGGCTTTAGGAGACCAAGGAGGATATATTTTCTGGCTTAGGGAGACCACTGGATTAAGGCGACCTTTTTCGGTCTCCCTATTATTTTGACCTCATCAGTATTGCAAATGTCTTTTTATAGATAAATAAACAGTCTGCCATTAAATATTATTAATCTTTAACTCTGTTATTTAACATTCAAAAGTTGTCTAATTTCTATCATCTTCCCTAAAAAAGAAAAGAATTTATAACCTACGTATAATTTCAAAGGATAATTTTTCTGCATTTTGGAGACCATGAAAAACATGCAATTAAACAAAAAATCTAGCATATATATTTTTTCCGCTTTTGATTTGTTCAAATGAGTGTTTCTTTAACTTAGTTTTCCATGCTTTATGTTAAAAACCTAAAAAGGAAAAATATTGTAAATTTATGAACCATGTTTTGAATTCTTAGCAAGTGCTTTCCGTCATTTGTTCCGAATGCCATCGGAATGCCCCTTCAGTTTTCAGAAAATGACCTCTGAACACCATGGATGTTGAGAAATTTGGGTAAGTAACTAAAATGATACAGTAATAAGTTGTAATTAAGAATACACAAGACAAACATTCGTTTGGGTTTTTTGTTGTTGTTTTTTTTTTTTTTTGCCTAGTAATTTAGCTTTCAAGAGAAAAAGTATGATTTTAAATAATCGTTAGACTATAGTTCGGTATATAAAATCCTGAAGGAAATTCGAAATAAAGTTAAATGATAGGCCCCTATATTTTTTAAATTCTTTTATGCAAGTCCACAAACAAATTAAATATTTAAAGATTAGGCCGAACGTTGAAAAATTGTCTCGCAAGTTGACGCAGCTATTTCGAGCTTAAAAATTTAAATTAAACTTTCTGTAAACATCATGCAGGACATGTTCATCATGATATAGTATAAATGAAACAGACCCTGTAAGAAAAAAATAGCTGTAATTTAATAATTGTTTATTAATATAATCTGGTCCTCTGCTAATAGAATATATATGCTGTAAAAAAAAATCTGAATCAGGGTGAAGCAGATTTGATACAATACATGGCTGAAGGAAGGGGGGGGGGGGGCAGGCCCCCTGTAATTTTGCTGAAATTTAGGTATACTATAGAAAACATTGCTCCTTTATGCTTGGGCCCCCTCAATAATAACCTCTGATGATCTATTTTTCTTTTGCTTTTGGGCCCCCTCAATAATAACCTCTGATAATGTATTTTTCTTTTGCTTATTAAATTTTTTTTTGGTTTGTAGCCTCCCCCAACCTGAAACTGAAAAATGTTGTTTGGTTGTGCTCACCCCCCCCCCCCTCCCCTCCAACTAAATTACGTACGGGCCTATTCTCCATCCCTGAGGTTTTCTTTCACCAAAGAAAGATGAATTGGTAACAGTTCAGATATATATAGCAATATTTACGGAAGGGAATATTCTCGTTTAATTATGAAGATGTGACAGTAACTCAGTCAAAGCCACAGTGAGTGTAGCATTTATTTAATATTATTGTTAATGTTTACAAATAGTGAAATACTGATACTGTGAAATTTTAATGGATATATAGAAAATATAAAAGTACAAACATTTATTGTAAATCACATACATGAAAAGCTTCTTTTTTTAAGCAATTGGAAATTCTTCATTTTTTCATGAAATTATTTTATTTCGTATGTATGATAATTTATTTCGTATTTTAATTCTGTCAACAAATCATTGTCGCAGCCTAGTTCCCTTCATTATTTTCAGCAGTTCAGTGACAGAGATAAAATAATCATTTGAGGTTTATATCCCCCCTCCTCCCCATCAAATGAAACTGAAAAATGTTTGGTTTTGGTCCCCTTCAACTGAAATTGATTCCTACTTACCATGCTTACAGGCTTAACTATGAGGATGTGACAGGGAGTGTAATAACAATAATTTTTCAGACGGATACATATTAAGCTGATATACGTATAAAATTTTAATGGATAGATAGAAATTAATAAACAATTACAACCATTTATTATAAACTACATAAAGATAATTTTTCAAGCAATTTGAAATTCTTCATTTTTTATGATAATATTTTATTTCGTATATATGTTTATAGGTTTATTCGTATCAACAAATCTGTGTACGAGTTAATAACGCAGCCTGGTTCCCTGCATTTTCAGTGAACCACAGAGAACCAGAATAAGATTGTAGGGAAACAAGCCTTGTTACAAGGTTTGAGGTTTGTTTATTTTATATTTTAATTTACACTTTTAAAAATTATTATTATTATGCAAAAATCTGTGTGCAGATGAATATTTACATTTTAATGTTATAAGTCGTTTTGTGGTTCATATTTGCGGTGACTGTCCCACGTGTGTTTACCTGTTTACATTCACCTACTGACCTAGAGTCTTCAAAATATACCTTCTGTAATCATGACTGTTGTAATCTTGTTTTTATGTTAGTTTACCATATGTAACTTGACTGTTGTATAGATTTATAGCGATCACTGCAAGCTTTTAATATTTAGGTGAAGAGAAATTTCAGACTATCAATCACAGGCACTTGTTTCATATACGGTGCACCCCTACTTATTTTTACCACAAGGTACCTAACTCAATTTCAGGCACCCCCGCTTCAAGCTCGTATTTTGTTCATGTATCATTATCAATCATTAACCTACTTTAAAATGACATCGTTCGCTTCAAGAGACTTTTTTCTTGTCAAATAAATCGTTTCAGACATCTCTGGTCGAGTCTCTTTATTGTAAAGCACTCATTTATTCCACGAAAATTACCTCGATACATTTTAAGACTTTAGATTGGATACAACTTCCAGTTGGGGGTAGAATAAAACCAGAGACTTCAGAGTATTCCATTCCGAGGTCTCTGGTTTTATCCTTCATTTATAACCCCAACCGCATTTTTGTATCGAAAATTACCTTGATACATTTTAAGACTTTAGATGGGATACAAATTTCATTTTTTTCACAGGTCACGAGGTTTCAACTTAAAAAATAAAAATTCTCACTGTTAAGATATGTTGGAAATTTTAGCTTGATGTGTTGATAATTTTCCAAATTATTATGTAATAAAGGGGACTTTATATGATCACCCGGCACTGTCGCTTTAGTTCAGTCTTCACAACAATTCTTTTTCAGCACATGCCCTTCGGGCATGTAGACCTATCATTTTTACCCAGCCCATTCAAATTTGTACATGTCCTACTCAAAATTCTTACATTTACCAGTATTGTGCAACAAAAAAAACCCATTAGGTATAAAGGTTTTATATTAATTTTTTCAGCGTCGTAAACCAACCATGGCCTGTGATTGCCATTTTCTAAAGCGTTTTTGTTTATAAATAACTTTTGAGTTGCATGCTGGTCATTTGTTGGCCGGTTTAGCTGAACTGAATTTCAGAAATGGGATCATGACTGTAGTGCCACAGTATGTGGCATGGATGAACATCTCGTAATTTAGCAAGCAACTTCGAGAAAACAAATAGGTTAAACTAAACACTTCAATGATTAGATTGACAATCATTTGACAGGTCGTATCGAGAATGTAGACAGGCAATCCATCGACATTACATATAGCAACGTTTAAGCGAATAATGGGGGTAGGACAGAGTAAATGGCAAGTAAAGATCGTACAATGAAAGAAGATTCACATATGCCCTCTTCGGACATGTAATTTGGCAATTTTTACAAGCCCGGCTGCAAATTTAACAGGTCCCTGGCATTGGACTCCCGGGTTATTTGGAAGACTGTTAGTTTAGTTTCATGAGGTCCGACAACATTGATTCTCAATGTCTGCTCCCTCTACCCCATACACTTATCTTGATAAAATTACATAAATTATATTATTAATTATATAAATTGATATAAATTATATAAACCGGTCTTGTTTATATAATTTTACAATGTCATAAACAGCTGCTTAAGTGCATATAATATTGTACTAAATGGATTTATATATAGGATTAGGGAAAGATCCTCACTTGATTATGGCAGCATATTTAGCCCGTAGGAGTTTATTATCTACCACACATGATCAATGTCACTTTTGGATGTGAATGACTTTTGACACCCTAACTTCAGTTCAAATCAACGTTAACTTTATGTGACGTCTCTCTGAATCTTTTTTGGCATGTAACTTGGGTAAAAACAATTAAGTACTCTTGATGCATTTGATTTCTCTTAGCCCGTTTAAACATATCCAAGGTCTATACCAGTTTTTGCAGGGGCGAAACTATGTAGAAGTTGGAGAAACCCATCCCCTTTTTGACGTATTTGGTTTTCGAGGGGTGAAAATTTTCAATATTACACTCAACTACATGCAATATTTATTATATTATACTGAATGTTTTATACAAATACAAATAATAGTGAACCTTGAGCGCATAAATCTGCGCAGTCACTATTTTTTGGAATATCACCCGTCGTCAAGCAATGTTGACTGTTGTGACACTGGGCGTGGCTTCATTATTCAGCGGATAATAGTGCTTTTTAACAAATGTTTCTTGACGAATCAGATTAATTCATCTAATATACCTGAAAGTACAATATTAATTAATTGTCATCATTTTCCTATATTAGCATTTTTACTGGTAATGGTTTTGAAATGATAGGAACATGCACTGTTCAAAAAGTCTTAAAATTTTGTTTTGGCTAAATTTCTTTGTTAAATTACTGTGTTGAACTAAGGCAGGTCAATTAAAGTAACATGATCCTATAGATTCCATGTACATTTAGTACTGTAAAGTAGACAAATTTATTGTTCTCACAAGTAGTTCTCAAACATTGATTTAAGTTGGTCTCCTGAAGGATGTAATAATGCAATTGGTCTGCTTAAGGTATAGTGTATAATATAGACATGCATATTTTATTTTGA